TAAGAAGAACTATGTTATAAAGGAGATATGCAAGCATCCAAAGAATCAGGAGGCCTCTATAAGCTTTGAAGAGTCCAAAATCCCCTTTTAATGTGGCAGAAGGAGAAACTATTTCTATGCGAAATCAATCAAAATTATTATTTTTTCCCTGTTGTGCCCATAATTGAAATGCAGTTCTGGAATGACATTCACAGACCCACAGCCAAAGAAACGTTATGTTCTTTCTGGCAACTCTTTGTCCAATACTTTTGGGCTGTTTTCTACATCCTATTCAGGCTCATTGTTGTTAAAAGCTGCTTACATTCCCCCTTCTATACAAGTATTTTTCTGAAAGATTCTTATTTGGCTTTAAATACTTCAACAAAATAAATAATTTAACAGGCAAACACAATTACCATTCCAGCCACCTGTTTTTACAAAATTCTTGCCCATGATCGGTTTATATAGTATTTCATCCTGGGTACTCTCCTTTTCTCTGTTACTATCATTTACCAAAGGGCAGTTGAGGATTCCTACACTAATATTAGCAACAAGCAATTAAAAATATGATGTGAGTATTACCCCCAATGCAAAGTATAATGTTGGAGCATAAGAGTGTAAGAGTGGGTTTTAGAGATTTTAAGTATAGAAGTCTAAAGGGAGGGATTTAGGGAGATGGATTTCATTTCCTACTTCCATATCTCATTTATTTCTCTATTTTAACAAAATGCTTGTTTCAATTTTTTTTATTTTTGTATACTGCTGCTTTAGCACTTTGTCTTAGATTATGTTTCCATTGTCTGTCTTGGTCTTTAGTTCCAGTAATGTTTCCGTTAAAGTCAAGTACATTTCCCGCCCCTTGCTTTTCTTGCTGTTTTTAACTTTTGTCATGGTGGAATGTGAGCTCACAGAGTTGTAGTCTCACTTTTTTTTTCTCCCTTTAATGTGATTCCTCTGCCCCCCTCTTCCAGTTCTTTGACCCTTAGCAATCAATTTTGGAAGTATGTCTTATCTGTAATGTTCCAGCCTTGAAGTAAACAACTCCAGGGTATTGTCATGGAAAACCAGTTCTTGATGGCTTCACAACAGCTACAAAACGGCAATGCTTCTCAATCGCTGTTCTTGAAAGTTATTACTTTGGCTTACGACCACAATTCAGCCCAAGTTTTCTGTTGTTAAGTGAGACATTTGTTAAGTGAAAGTTGCCCTGTTTTACAACCTTTCTTGCCATAGTTGTTAAGTGAATCACTGCAGTTGTTACATTAGTAGCATGCTTCTTAATTGAATCTGATCTTCCCGTTGACATTGCTTGTCAAAGGTCGCAAAAGGTGATCACACGACACAGCAACAATCATATGCCCAGCATCAGAATTTTGATTACCTGATCACAAGATGCCACAACTGTCATCGGTATGCAAACCGATCACAAGTTATAATTGTCAGTGCTGTTGTAACTTTGAGTGGTCACTGAACAAACTGTCATAAGTTGAGGACTACCTGTACTTAATATGGCTATTTAATATATATGTAACACACAACACACACACACCAGAGGTGGTATTCAGCAGGTTCTGACCAGTTCTGGAGAATCGGTAGCGGAAAATTTGAGTAGTTCGGAGAACCAGCAAATACCACCTCTGACTGGCCCTGCCCCCATCTATTCTCCACCTCCCAAGTCCCAGCTGATTGGCTGGGTCTTCTTTTGGTGCCCCGCACAGGAGAATGGAGCTGGAAAGCAGGTTAGTGGGGTGGGTGGAAATAGGATTTTGAATTAACCTTCCCCCAAGAGTAGGGAGGGAATGGAAATTTTACAGTATGCTTCCCCTGCCATGCCCACTAAGCCAGGCCCACCAAGCCACATCATGCCCAGCAACCCGCGCCCACAGAACAGGTAGTAAAAAAAAAATTGAATCCCACCACTGACACACACACACACACATTAATATGTAAGGTATGCTGCCTGAGATGCAAAATAGAACAGGGGATTAGCATCATAAATGATCAGAATTTGAAAATGTGGATGAAGGAACCTTTAGTTGATTTTAGTCTTCAGGACATCTGCCTTGTTGTATGCTGAGAATCTGTTTCTAAATAAAGATTTCTATATCAATAGGCAGTTTGAAGCAATCCTCCGTTTGAAAGTGATCATCTTATGAGCAACATCACTCTTCTATTATGTTCTATATTGTTTCTATCCAGACACAATGCCCTTCTTAGACAATACCTCCCAGAAGCTTAGAAATCACATAACATTTTTCTTGGACAGAATGGGAGATGGTAACTCCTCTGTTGCGGTTTTTAAAATAGGACAAACCTGAACTAGAGGCCACTAATCTTTTAGTTATATTCATTTCTCTCTGAAAACCAGAGAGCTGAACCTCGTTTCAAAATGAATAATATGAGCTATCAATGTATGCTGGGCAGGGAAAGGAAAACCAAGCACTAGAATCTTAATCGGAGCTGCTATTTCAAACTTGACATTTGTCACTTTAAAACTGAAGAACACAACAGCTTTTAAGTCATTGTGACAACCAAGCATTTGCTCTATAGTTGCTTCTCCCGTATCGTTCTATCTTCACAGTTCGAAACCTACCATTTTTTCAGTAAGGGTTCTGCAGCAATGGTGGGAATCATATTTTTTTACTACCAGTTCTGTGGGTGTGGCTTGGTGGGCGTAGTGTGGCTTGGTGGACATGGCAGGGGAAGGATACTGCAAAATCCATTCCCTCCTCACCCTACTAACCTGCTTTCCAGCTCTGTTCTCCTGTGCAGGGCAACAAAAGAAGAGCCAGCCGATCAGATGGGACTCAGGAGGCAGAGAATAGATGGAGGCGGGGCCAGTCAGAGGTGATATTTGCCGATTCTCCGAACTACTCAAAATTTCCGCTACCGGTTCTCCAGAATTGGTCAGAACCTGCTGAATACCACCTCTGGCCTCCAGGGTTTGTTAACCATTTCCAACCTCCGTCTCCAATTACTATCCTGGTTCAGATTGCCACTAATAGTTCTTCAGTTATTTCAGCTTGCCACAATTTCCCCACCTGTCATAGTCTAAGAAGAGTCACTTTTTTTCCTTGATGGATCGAAGGATATCTGGCTTGATCCTTTCAAATTTGCAGGGGACAAACTTATTTCCCAACATCTTTAGGGACAGATTGTTTCCCATGGTTAATCTCTTTTCTTAATTCACTCCTCCACCATCGACTCCTTTCTAACACCCAACTCACCCATTATTGAGTAAGACGCTTCTGAGCTTTTCTAAAAGAGTAAGAAAATATTGCTTATTTCTTATAAGAGTAAGAAAAGATTTCTTTCTGAACTATAGTTGCTTGCATTAGGTAGAACCAAGTAGGGCTGTCAGAGAGATTTATAATACTTGCCTCCTGTTAGATCAAATAATTCTAGGTAGCTAATTGAGTCTAAATTCACAACAAGGCATGCAGAAATCACACCTTTTGGGAGAGAAGGTGGGTGGGCTTGGAAGAGAAATGCAGTCAAAATGGGCAAATGGCTTGGTGATCAGAATAGGACAGCTCATCCGCAGCCAATTCACCATGACCAACTCACCATGGAACAACTTGCCACAGCACAATTCAACAAATACAAAAGTGAAATTAATTTCAATGGAACTATGGCTAATAATAATAATAATAATAATAAAAATAAAGGTTAATTTTGATGAAAATGTGGTCACCAATAATAAAACTACACGAATGAAACAATTAATGCAATGTTGAATTGCAAATTGACCTGTGGTGATTGACCGTGGCAAGTTGGCCACGGCTAGCTGTCTTAGATTTGGTGACAGGTTGGGAAAGTTAAAAAATACAGGTTTTTTGCTTGTTTTCCGAGGCCTAAAGCAGGCAATTCATTTGGTTCCCTTCCCTAATACCATCAGACGTTTATTATTGTGGCCTGCTGAATGTATGAAATATATATTTCTGTATTTTAGTCTGTATTCTCTTTTTCTTGCTTTGCAGTGCTGTATTTCGATATTCAATGTAGTGTTGGGTTGTTTGGAAATAATTTTTTTTGCACGTGCTGTGAATGTTTCTTAGATAGGCAAGGAAGAGGGGTTGAAATTCCCAAATAACATTCCTTGCAGTAGAAGTATTACTTGGTCCAGCAGGCCCAAGGAAACCAGCATCCTTTTCAGTTTGACTGACGATCGATGTTTACGGGATTTGCAACAGCATGCAAAATCACCGGCTACGGATAATGTCAATCCATCATAACAAAGGAGCAAGGACAAAGAGGGGCAGGAAAAAACAACCTTCGAAGTCTGAGTTGTGTGTGCTCTAGCCTAAAATTGCTGATTGCTCTTCCTTGAATTCCTTGCACAAAAGTTCTACACCGACACACCGGAAATAGATTGCCTCTAAAAGAGTGGAAAATACTTTTAGTTTATTCATTTTGCTTGCCTGTATTACCTGGTTATCAGCCAAATCTGTCAGATTATAGCCAGCCGGTGAGGGAATTGGCAGCTGTAGTTTCACACATTTGGAGAACACTAGATTTGGGGAAGGCTTTGTGGGGCTCCCTCCACTCCAATCTGCTTTCCTCCACTTTAGCAAAACCAGGAGTGGAGTCTCATTCTCCACTGTTCTTCCCTTTCAGAGTTGCTTTTCTTATTCACAGAAGCAGAAAAGATAGATAAGGGCCACCATCTTCCCTCATCTCCACAGGATGTCTGTGTGTCTCTTCCTTAGTTGTCCTTCTGGATAAGATAGCAGATGGGTCACTGCAGGGCACATTGCAAGCAAACAATTGGAGGATGGCTTTGCAAACAAAATGAATGACTCCGGGGAGAAAAAAAATACTCCCCTTTTGTCTCTTAAAAGCATTGCTGCTGTGGGCAGGTCAAGGCTACAGTGGAAGTTATTATCATCTTGGCCTCTTCCTCTGATAAAAGCCCCAGTGCCCACAAGACTTTCTCTCCATATGTACACTTTGCTTCAAAACACCAGAGCCCGAAGGCACCTGGTGGGATTAGAAGAAGTAGACTCACCTTGTCTTCTTCAATGGGCCCTGCCGGGATTTCTTGCTTCAGGTGTCTTTGCCACCAAGAGATGCTCCTGCTGTTCATGTTGTCCTTTGGCCTCCACGGGAATACGCAGTCCTTGCAGAATACAGTGGGTGAGTACTTGCAAATGTCCCTTAACTGGAAGCCCCAAAAGTCCATGTTCCTGTGCAGAGTTGCCGTTTCTTTTGAAGCCTTTACAGGCCATTCATATGTCGTGAACAAAATGCTCAGTTGCTTGCTTGCTGCATACAATTTGGAAGAAGATTTGCACTTTTTGTTTTGTTTTGCTTTGCTTTTCAGGCAATGTGAATTTCTGTCACATTTAGTCCAGTATATTGTTCTTGTAACTCCAGAGAAGTTAGAGCAACCAAACCTTCATATATTATGTGAAAAAAGGACTGAGATGACTCAGAATTCTCCCCACATCTATTATTCCCTGCTTGCTTACGCCATAGCTGGCTAAAGAACCCTATAGACTCAGCAGCAGAATTTCAGATAACTTCAGAAAAAAGTAATGAGAAGTAGCCATTGTAGTGCTAAAATATACAAGGAATAAACTGGATTCTACAATTGTCCCAGAAATCCCCCTCTTCTCTCTCCCTCCCTCGCCTCCCCCCCTCTCTCCCTCCCCCACTCACTCACTCACACAATGTAAGGGATGAATATTGAGCTGATATATTAAAATTAAATGAGATTATCTGAGTGAAGCATAAAATGAAATCAATGTAAGTAGAGAATTATTGCAAATAGATGCTGCTAATTTAAAGCGTGTTATTATAACATGATTCTGTGTGAGTTGTAAATTTCTTTCAAATCATGAACTACCATACATAACAGCTGAGCAGGATCTTCTATATTTTAACATATTTTTGAATACTTCTGATGTATTTGTGTGATATCTTTTATTTGGAGGCTAATAATGTGTGCCTAATGTGTGCCTAGAAATTTACTTATTTTATTTTTACCCCAGATAGGTTATACGCAATAGTTCAAAAGACGGCTTTCCCACTGCCCCCATAAGGGTCATGACAGATATTTCATTATACTTGGGATAGTCAAGCAAATATTGAGTGTTGCTATATTTCCATATTTATTTGATGAGCAATTCTATTGAATTAGAATTCAATGAAGATGTCTCTAAAGGTGGTGACAAAACAGGGGAACATACACACACTCACTGCTATTTTGAAATCAAGGAGTGATTTCAAAAGAGAAATTGATTTATTGGTTGTGTGACATCAAGTCAGCATTCATAGTTGGATCTCCACTAGGATAAACAATTCTGAGACTGGTCCTTCAGGTTTTCCAATGGTCCACTCATCACTGTGAGTCCATCCAGATTGCCGCTGGTCATCCTCTTCATGTCTTCTGTCTTTCCCAGAATTATAGACTTCTCAAGGGAGTTTGATCTTCACATAATGTGTCCCAAATATGATAACTACAATTAAAGTAATTCAAAGGGAGATTAGTGTTGATAAATTCCAGTGGCAACAATCCGTCTTCAAAAATCAGTCCATTCAGAGGTTTGTGGAAATGGCCAGCATTATATGAAACATAATCCATAATACTATTATATTAACTAGGTGAAATTAATTATTCTAAATTCTGTGCAACCAATACATGCAGAAGAAATTTAATTTTTAAGAAACATAATGGTAGAAAAGATCTACCAAATTATAGACCAGCCAATCATGTTTTAGTATCAAATGAAGTTACTCAATCTGGACTGCAAAATCTGGATGTTTACTTGTATCCTTACAATTTTTCTTTAACTGTTTCCTAGTATGATTTGATTGCCCTATGACTATTATTAAGTCTTGAACCTTATGATTCTTGACTCTTGACAAATGTATCTTTTCTTTTATGTACACTGAAAGCATTTGCACCAAGACAAATTCCTTGTGTGTCCAATCACACTTAGCCAATAAAGAATTCTACTTCTATTCTATTCTATTCTATTCTATTCTATTCTATTCTATTCTATTCTATTCTAATTTTACAAATGGCTACTTGAATTCTTGTAATCCAAATCTGATAGCCTTAGCAGACATGATGATTATTTTCTAACACAGGGTCAGACTTTCAGCCTTTAAACCAAACCAACCTGTTTCTGATATTTTACAGGTAGGGCCAAAATACATCCTTAGAGGAGCCAAGCTGCCCAGAAGGGTGGCCTGGGTTGGACAGAGTGACATGCGGGAGGGGCTGTGAGCGAATAGAGTGGCCACACTCAGTGAATACTGACTAGACTGGCCACTAGGTGGCAGCAAAGAGGTACAACCTCCTCATTGCTATCATCTTGAGGTCAACTGGATACTTACAACCTATATCTGATAACTTAGTACTGACACAACTTAATGGCACCGATTCATCCCCAAGAGAGTGTCCTGAACTGCATTGCTGCAGTTCCTCTTCAAAGACATTGTGTGCACAACTCCTGGTCACTAACAAATCTGATCCCTTGAAATTGACCATTAAGTCATAAGCTGATTCCTAAAATTAGCACAGAGGTTTCATCTGAGTTTTTGCCCTGAAGCCCAAAAACCTTAACTTACTTCTCCACTAATATGATACCCAGACTTAGCTCATATGTTGCTTGCAACCTCAGAAAATTGGTTTAAATTAAGTAAATCATGATTAAGAGTTCTGTGAAAACAGCAATGGAGAAACATACACAGTCAGTCAGTTACAAGATTTATATAACTGCTGAGCTCATATAACTACAACAAAGAAAAGTAAAGCAAGACACTCATAGAGTTAAAATCATCACACACAACCAAAATGCTGCAGCACTCACATATCATGTGCATTGGGTTCATTTCTCACCCTGACCCACATAACCATCTATTTTTTTAAAAAGCCAAATAAATCAGAAATTACGTACATAATGCAGAACATTCAGTGACAAGAGATACATGTTGAACATCCAACAACAACATATATCAATGTTCAGTTTATCAAGCAATTGTTCTTTTCATATTTTGTTACTCCCTCTCCAATTTTTCATTCCGTTCCAAGCTTTGGGTGCTTTTGATGGTGCATTCCATTTTACTTTATGGCTCTTTTCTTTTGTAGATTATTTATACATCTGCAAAAAGTTGTGGTGGTTTTTCTTTTTACTCTACCAAGTCGCATACATTGTCTGAATACTGGAAAAAAATAATGTGATGAATTGTACCCACTCCACCATCTACTGTATACTCATAAGCAAATGAACCAACAATAAATTACCAGCCATCACGGTATTTTCTCATTAAGTAACAAGGCATTTTTCTTTTCAAATTAAATCGATATTTCATGGTTCCTAAAATACAGGTTGAATCACGTAAGAATTCAAGGCAGCCCAGCGACCAATGAAACTTTTAAAAGGGGGAAAATATTTTTGCTTCATTTTGATGTACCAAATTAGAGCAATTGACTTATTTAGCAAAAGAAGAAGGAAAAACAATCCATTTGCTTCAATCCAAAGAAGGTTAATAATAAATCCTGCTTTAATCCCACAATCAGCTGGGATTACCTGGTACTTAATCAAGTGTTAAGTATATGCACAAATATATATTTATTTTTTTAAAGTTTTTTTTTTCATAAACATTTTTGAATACAGCATTTTGTCTGAGTATGCTGTTTACAAGAAACAAAAACCATAGCTCGTACTATAAAATATATCTTCCCATTTACTAATAATAGTACTAATCATATAATAGCACATAAACACATGTTTTCTTTATGTTTAACTCATTCATATTTTAGTGCTTATATCGATTATAGTTAACAGATAACAGATAATCAGAGTTGGAAGGGATCTTGTAGGTCATCTAGTCCAACCCCCTGCCCAAGCGGGAGATCCTACACCATTTCTTACAAATGGCAGTCCAATCTCTTCTTGAAAGCCTCCAGTGATGAAGCTCCCACAACTTCTGAGGGCAAGGTGTTCCATGGGTTGATTGTTCTCACTGTCAGAAAATTTCTCCTTATTTCCAGGTTGAATCTCTCCTTGTTCATCCATTATTCCTTGTCTGGCCTTCGGGTGCCTTGGAAAATAGCTTGACCCTTTCCTCTTTGTGGCAGCCCCTCAAATATTGGAAAATTGCTCTCATGTCTCCCCTGGTCCTTCTCTTCACTAGACTAGTTACATACCATCTCTGTTTTTAATAAAAACATTCAACATTTCTTCCTCTAACTACTACCCCTTGTCTCTCACCACTCATAGAATCTATTCCATATCAAGTAATATTCTGAGTCTTCTTTTTCTTTTCTTTTTAATCTGTCCATCTCGGCACATTCTAGGATTTTCCTGATTACCTCTTCATCTGACGGGGTATTCTCATTTTTCCAGAATTTTGCATAGCTAATCCTTGCTGCTGTCAATATATGTAAAACAAAGTATGCATTTCCTTTATCATAACCCTCTGGGATTATGCCCAGCAGGTCAGAGGTGGTATTCAGCAGGTTCTGACCAGTTCTGGAGAACCGGTAGCAGAAATTTTGAGTAGTTTGGAGAACCAGCAAATGCCACTTCTGACTGGAATTTTTACAGTAACCTTCCCCTGCCACGCCCACCAAACCGCACCCACAGAACCGGTAATAAAAAAAAATTGAATCCCACCACTGCAGCAGGTATACTTCTGGTTTCCAGTCTATCTTCTGTTTGGTTATTTTTTTCCAGCCAGCTCTCTATTTTCTCCCAATATTGTTTTGCTTTGGTGCAAGTCCACCACATATGGTAGTAAATCCCTAGGTTATGCACAAATATAAAGGGCAAATTTGGAAGCTGCAGCGATGCATCCCGGATGAAAAGTGTAATGAATGTTTTTATTATATACTCGTTTGCAGCCTTCACTTTAACTCTTGGGAGTTTTCTGAAATTCTCTTTGCTGGGAAGAGGTTGACAGAGCTGTCCTTTGCTCACCCAAACGCTTGCATTGCAGGTGACAGGTTGTTGGTTAATCAAGATCTGAGAATTGTTCAAAGGCAGCTGCTCCTAGGAGATCTGAAGGAAGACAGGGAGAGCTGGAAAAAAAGCATGGCAAGGATCAATCTTTGAAGATAGCTCATTATCACCAAATGACACAGAACGCTGATTCTTTCATTAGGAATGTTGATCCTGCATTCTTTATCTGCATAAACTGGAAGTCTCTAGCTCTCAGGTATAAGTCAGAATAACTGAATAGCAGAGTTGGAAGAGACCTTGAAGTTACCCTAGTTCAGGGGTGGGATTCTACCAGTTCTCACCTATTCGCTAGAACCGGTTGTTAACATTCTAAGCAGTTCGGAGAACCGGTTGTTAGGAGAAATTACTGGCCTAATCCTGTAAGGAAGGCAGGAAGGAAACATTCTGGTGTTGCTTACAGAAACTGCCTCTCCATTAACCCTTATTACAATCTTGGCAGGACTAGACTTCCTGTCTCAGGAACTTCTCTGGAGTTTTTTCCCTCTCCTTTGCTGGTACTTTGCTTGTGTGGAGTGACCATTCAAAGTTACAATGGCACTGAAAAAAGTGACTTATGACCATTTTTCACACTTACGACTGTTGCAGCATCCTCACAGTCATGAGAGGCCAGGCTAGGAGAGGCGTGCCTTGATGTGAGTGATATTGACTTGGCAACGCCCAGCCAATAACATGACCACCAAGCCATGTCCAACCAATCACATGACCGCCAAGCCACGCCCACCATCTAAGCCACGCCCACAGAACTGGTTGTTAAAAATTTGAATCCCACCCCTGCCCTAGTCCAACCCCATGCTCAGGCAGGAGATAAGACATTCCAGACAAGTGGGAGCTTCATCACTGGAAGCTTTCAAGAAGAGACTGGACTGCCATCTGTCAGAAATGGTGTAGGGCAGGGGTGGGATTCAACCGGTGTTACTACCGGTTTGGTGAGAGCTGTGCACGCGTGTACAGCATTTGCAGAAAAACATCAGCTGTGCCACCCGGACAGCTGACAAACGCTGCAAGTGGGTGTGCAAGTGTTTGAAAATCCTCTTCTTTCCTGCTTTTTCAACCTCAGCTGTGCCACGCACAGCAGCTGAGGTTGAAAAAGCAGGAAATAAAGGACAGCCAAGAGCCCAGGCAAGCAGGCAGGCCACACAGATGACCAAAAGGTTGTCGCACCGAACCGGTTCAGTGTCTGCTACTCTTCAGAGCTACCGGTTCTATAGAAGCGGGCCGAACTGGTAGCATCCCATCCCTGGTGTAGGGTCTCCTGCTTGGGCGGCTGGGGGGGGGGTTAGACTGGATGACTTTATGAAGTCCCTTCCAACTCTGTTACACTGTATTGTAACAAGTCCAGTCTCTTCTTAAAGGCCTCCAATGATGGAGCAGCCACAACTTCAGAAGGCAAGCCGTTTAAAATCGCTATGATTTTTGTCTTGTCACTTTTTAAGCCTATTTAACCAGGCAACAATTTTTGCAGTCCCGTTTGGTTATGTCTTGTAAAAAAAAAAAAAAAGGGAAAGGAAAAGGAAAGCATCTTCTTCGCAGGATAACACTAGCTTTCCTATAACCTGTTATATTTCTTTTGGGATTCACTTGTTTCCAATAAAATGAAGAGTTGTTGGCTGTGACTTGCACCTGTGACCATAACCGTTTTGCGACCTGCACTGGTTACCAGTTGGCACTTCAAGATGCTGGTTGTCACTTTATGACATAGGGCCTGGTCCATCTATGGCTGTTTCTAGGTCTCAGGGTGATCAGGCAGAGTGAACAAGCTCCTAGTCCTTCTGATCAAGGCGTGTCCTCTAATGCAGGGGTCTAGTCAATTTAGGTTCTCTGAAGCCCAAAGGGATTCCTCATATACATGCTGTATATAAGAGAGCCAGTTTGGTTAGGCAGGGCAGTTAATAATTAAGGTTGCAGGCTGAAAACAAGGAGACTGTGAGTTCTAGTCCTGCCTTGTGTAGAACGTTAACACCCACCCCTCTTAGAAGAATGACATGTTTTAGGAAATATTAAAAGGGCAGAATATTATATTTCCCCCTAAAAGAGAAATAGAAATCTTAAGGGAGACAGAAACTCAGCTCCCTGCCCCAAGCAGAAATTTGGTGCCCATTGAGAAGGACTGGGCCAGCCTATCCACAAGACAAAAACCTTCAGCTCCAGGGCGATGGGATTAAGACATAACCCCTCAGGACATAATAGGATTAGCCCTCTACCATCTAGCTCACCATATGGCACAACAAGCCCCTTCATTGCATCATCCAGCAAGCTTCAACCAAGCCTGGGACTCAGACAGACTACAAAGTTAGCAGTGACACCCACAACAACTAATAGAATACATTTCTTGCACAGGAACAGGAAGCTCAAGGGCAAGGCCCAAGCGAGGGTATAAATAACCCTCACTCTCCACTCCATGTAGTCAGCTGTCCAGGACCTCAAACCCACGTGGTCCTGCTCACCAATAAACCATCTTTCCAATCAGCATCCATGTTTCCAGTGTCTTTCTCCCCACTTGGAACTGAACCAGATGGATATTTCTTCCAACACTTGGGCACAAAACCATCTTGGGGACCTTGAGCCAGTCATTTCCCCCTCAGCTTTCCTAGGAAGCAGACAATGGCAAACCACTTCCAAAATCTTGCCAAGAAAACCGCACAGACTGGTGCAAGCATTTGTTAGGAGTCAACACTGACTTGAAGGCATGCACACAAACACACGGTTTCCCTCCAGACCTACTAATCAGAGGAAAATCTCCTTCTTTTGCTTACCCATAGGAGATCAATGGACTCATATAACACAGCTTTCTTTTGGTGGCAAAAGAAAAATCATCTGGCTTGCCTTATGCATCGATCAGATTAGTCCTTCCTTTGCTGGTTACAAGCAGCCCTTCCTGACAGAGCTGTCTCCAATTACCACTGTAGGAAATTGAGAAGACACCCTAATCACACAGCCAAGCAAGATAAAGTTTTGCTTTATCTCTCCTTATCAGAAGTAGGGAACTCTTCCTTCTTCTCACAGACATTCTCACTCTCAACTATTGATTAAATAAGTTTTCCCCAAACTGAAGCCATCTATCTGTGTTGGCTGTTGCAATTATAATGCTCACATTTTCCCATTGGTCACACGGGTGGAACTTTTCAGTTGTATTGCAACAGGTGGGGAAAGCCTGAGTTCAATGATATATTGACAATATGCATGCATTTTCCATCTCTTCCTTTTAAAGGACATCGTTATTCAATTAGAAGGGTGATTTATGCAGATGAAATTACAACTCTGGATTTTGAAAATCAGTATCTTCAAATCTCAGAAGTTTCTGAATAAACTGACCAAAGCTTAGCTGAATAGAAACACTGCTGTCAATTGTACGGGTTTGCAATATTTTAGCATCTTGAAACCTTGTTAAATTTGGGGTTTCAGGTATTACTTGAATATTAGGTGTTGTAGAAGGAGGAAGAAACCCTGTTTTTATTAAGTCTTCCATGTTTGATCTCAGTAGAAGATGGCCTGGGCTTTTCCTTATTATAGCAGCTGAAATCTGCAATTATTTCTTCAATTTAGTATTGGACATATTTTCTAGAAATGAACCGAGTTGGTTTATGAGAGATTGCTGAGAATGTTGAACTTATAATATAGCCAAGATTCCATGTCAAGATAATTTTTTGTGAACCTCCTACTGAGTTTCAATTAACCTACAAGAAAATATCATAGAATCGTGAATTGTAGAGTTGGAAATTCCTCAAGGTTCCTCTGGTCTTAAGTAAAAGAAAAATCAACCCTGCAGGCCCCATAATTTAAAACTGCATCTTATGGATATTGAATGTAGTGATACATCCAGATTCCCACTCAGGCAACAAATGATTATCAGACCAGGAAATAGCTTCCAAAATGAAAGATTGAGGGAACAGGGTTCATTTAGCCTCCGGAAGACACACATACTTGAATAATAGAAAAAGGCCATGAGTTAATTCTGTAACGCAGAGAGTTAAAAGCCAAATAATATTGTGGAAAAGCAGATCCAGCTGAAAATATTTAAATAGGAAGATTGATTTAATATCAGAACCAACTACTTAGAGCACAGGTGTCAAACTCGCCACTTCATGGTGCCATCATGTGACATATCATGACTTTTTTCCCTTCATGAAGCTGGGGTGGGTGTGGCCTACGCATGGCACATCTGGTCCGTGGGCCACCAGTTTGACACCCTGGCTTAGAGAAATGGCATGTTGTCTCATAACTGGTTATAATCAAATTCATGTACTGGACAGCAGTTTGGCTTCAATGGCCTTCCCAAATACATGGTTTTATATATATATATATATTTGTTTTCTGAGGTTCTCGTGGGTATTTGTATGTGGATCTTTGGTTATTCGGGTTTTCTCCTGCGTAAGATTGGAAGTATTTAGGCAACATTTCGATGAAGTCTCATTCATCATCTTCAGGCTTGTGTCTTCAGCTCTGTGCTTCTCAGAGTTCTCAGAGCTTCTCAGACTTCACTCTGAGAAGCACAGAGCTGAAGACACAAGCCTGAAGATGATGAATGAGACTTCATCGAAATGTTGCCTAGATACTTCCAATCTTACGCGGGAGAAAACCCGAATAACCAAAGATATATATATATATATATAAATTTTTAAAACAAACATATACAAACAAAACATAAAACCATAAAGCCATCTTCCATTTTATATACATACAGTGTATCAGTTGGTTACCATTCTTTTGTGCTATCCTTTCATAGTCATTACTCACAGTTTATATAAATTCTCACATTGTCAAACTAACATATGTTTATATATTTATCAGTTATTAATCATTCATGACCAAATATATGGTTTTATGTTAGTCAATATTTTATAAAGAAAATATAGCAAATTACTGTGAGATGGGCCCCACTTGACCATGAAGCTGGACTGTGGATAAATATTTATTTAACCTTGTGTAATTGTGTAGAAAGTAAAATGCTCCCAAGAATCCAACAATTGGCTGGTTCTATTCCTGCAGTCAAACATTTATTTATTTATCTCTTCCTACAGGTTCCAGTATGATTAACATCCTGCTATGGTTTTCTCTTCCTGTCTTCCAGCTCTCGATCCTTGTTCTGCCTACATTAGCCTGAATGAGCCTTGGAGGAACACGGAATTCCAGTTCAACGATTCTACTGACCAGCCTGAATGTGACAGTCATGTGGATGGGGAATGGTATCGCTTTACAGGGATGGCTGGGGACGCCATGCCTACCTTCTGCATTCCTGAGAACCACTGTGGCACCCATGCCCCAATCTGGCTGAACGGCAGCCATCCTCAAGAATCAGAGGGCGTTGTCCAAAGGCAGGCCTGTGCAACTTTTAATGGAAACTGCTGCCTCTGGAATACAACTGTTGAAATCAAGGCGTGTCCTGGAGGTTATTACGTCTACCATTTAGCCAAGCCCAGTGTCTGCTACCATGCTTACTGTGGACGTAAGTGACCAAACCTTAATAGTTCTTTCCCATAGAAGAGAATATTTGGAGCTGAGGAGTCCCTGGTCCTCGCTGAGGTTGGTTGTTTTCTTGCAGATGTTTCATTACCAAACTAGGTAACATCATCAGTGCTAATAGGGAGTGGGGTTTGCTCTCATTTTATATACTACCCAGTTGCTTGCCCTGTCAGTATTGGCAGGAGTGGTCTTGGAGGTTCTAGAATAGGCTGCTTGTTGTTAACTTATTTGTCTGATTTGGTAGTTCCTTGACTGGAGTGTAGTTTGCTTCTTGGTTGTTGGTCTAATGTTAATCTTGGTGTTACTCTCTGCTCATCTGGGTGTTGATTGCTGGTGAGGAGGTGTCTTGGTCTTTTGTTTCCTTTTTAGCTTTTTTATTTTCTCTTTTGAATGGTTTTGAACACCACTCCCTACTAGTCATGATGATGTTAGCTAGTTTGGCAATGAAACATCTGAAAGAAAGTAACCAGGCTCAGAGAACTCCAAGGACTCTTTACTTAATTGTCCTTTCTTATGTATACTCTTATTTGAGCACGGTATAACAAGAGGAATTTCACTTTGGGGGCATATATGTAGCAATAGCAATAGCACTTAGACTTATATACTGCTTTATAGTGCTTTACAGCCCTCTCTAAGCAGTTTACAGAGTCAGCATATTGCCCTCAACAATCAGGATCCTCATTTTACCCACCTCGGAAGGAGAGAAGGCTGAGTCAACCTTGAGCCTGGTGGGATTTGAACTGCCAAATTGCAGGCAGCTGGCTGCAGAAGTAGCTTGCAGTACTGCACTCTAACCACTGCGCCACATATGCTTCCATGTATGAATGATACCTCATGATTTTAGCAAACCTCCTTTGCTAAATTAATCTAATTAATCTAGTTTACCCCTTGACATGATTCTTTTCCCTTGTAATAGCAATAGCACTTAGACTTATGTACCGCTTTATAGTGCTTTACAGCCCTCTCTAAGCAGTTTACAGAGTCAGCATATTGCCCCCAACAATCTGGATCCTCATTTTACCCACCTTGGAAGGAGGGAAGGCTGAGTCAACCTTGACCTATTTGGCAATTTGTTCATTCATTATGACAAGTATGTTTTTTTAGCAGTACAACATTCAGAACTTTGACACCCTGAAGTTTGGAATGATACATTTCTGCAAAAGCAGCTCCCAACCAATTTCTTGGCAAGATCATCTCAAAAATGGACCTTATTCCTGCTCATAGCAAACAATATCAACAAGCAGAATCTGAGACACAATGCCTTGTCTGGCATTGCAAAGTTTAGCATCCTTGAACCCCATTCATGACAGAATGCCAGGCCCTGCATTCCAGATTGGGGAGAGCCACCAGAATTGGTTGTAAGGGTGATCAGTTAGCATCTAGCTTCTATCGATGAATTGCTTTGTTTTATTTTCCCTCTGATCGTTTGCCACACAGTTTCGACACCATCCTGAATTTTCTTTGGCATTTTGTTGCACAACTGTTTGGATTCCAGTCATAGATCTGTTCAGGAGCTCCTTCAGCTCTCCAGCCTGGCAGAATAGTCAACCACATCGCAGAATAGCTATTAAATTTTTTTTAACCTACCATGATTATACATTTCAGGTTGGAGAATTACGAATAATCATGCTTTGACAATAGAAGCTGGGGCTCAGAAAGCGATTGGTTGTATTTCATGGATAATACATATATGTGCTTTTCCCTGTCTCTTAACTGTTTTGGAAGTTTTAAATCTGCACTGACAGTGTATTTATCTCTACCTCTGTTTCTATCTCTATCATTTCTATCTATATCATCTTTATATCATCTCTATATCATTTCTATCTCTATCATCTCTAACTGTATCTCTATCATTTCTCTCTATTCCATCATCTATCTCTATCATCTCTAACTATATCTCTATCATCTCTATCTCTATCTTTATATCAAGAAGCGATGGATGGAAATTAATCAAGGAGAGAAACAACGTAGAACTAATGAGAAATTTCCTGACCAAAAACAACAACAATGGAACGACTTTCCTCCAGGAGTTGCGGGTGCTCCAACACTGGAGGTTTTTCAGAAGGGATTAGACAAACATTTGTCTGAAATGGTGTAGGGTTTCCTGCCTGAGCAGAGGTTTAGACTAGATGGCCTCCAAGATCTCTTCCATCTCTGTTATTCTGTTATTCTATATCTATATATCTATAGCAACAAAATAGCCCTTCTGTTCTGTTGTCCCCCACTTTCTCCACATGCACACAGACATAAACATCACACAAAAATACATTGAAGTTGCTATCAAAAATTGTCTTCATTGGCCTCAGATTACAATTGCTTTTTATATATAGCGGACACCCCTCCCCCAACTGATTTTTTTAATAAAAAAGATAGGTTAATTTCCCTGAGAAATCAGTCTATGAATTTCCAATTTAGCTCTGCATAGCTCTTGGGCAATGTTGTTGATAGCTTTTCATTGCATTGCTCATTGACCTTTACAGCTTATAACAGAGAAATCATTTTAGTAATGTATCTCATCTGGGAAATCTGGTGGGTGCATTCTAGTCAGCTGAAGAGACTGAGCTCAAGGCTTCCTCTCTGAGCTGGAAAGGGATCAGTTTGAAATATCTGATCTTTTCTGCGATGGCATCTTTCCTTTGAATATTTTTTTTGCACAATCTAGACCAGTCCCTTGTAATTTTTAGAGGACAGCCATGCCCTTTCTTTGGGGAAAAGTTTTGGACTGTCAAATTTGGACAGTCCAAACTTTGGACCGTCGAATTTTGGAAACCCCCCCCTCTTCTTTGTGGCAGTCCCTCAAATATTGGGACACTGGTAGGAGGACTAGGGGGTGACATGATAGCTGTGTTCCAATATCAAAGGAGTGGCTACAAAGAAGACAGGTTCTGTAAGGCAATTGAAGGCAGACTAAGAAGCAACGGATGGAAACTAATCTAGGAGGGAAGCCACCTAGAACTAAGGACAAATTCCCTGACAGTGAGAACTGTCAGTAAAGCTGTCAGGGCTCCAACAAATCCACCCCCATTCAAATCATAAGTCTCTAGCCGCATCTCTCAGAGCAACAAAAAAAAAAAGATTAATTAGGAGTGACCAAGTCGGCATTACCTGGGTGCAGCCGACACTAAGATACATCATTCATTTCCCCCTTGACCCTGGTCTTCCCCCCATTCCCTGGATTTATATTCTCCAATGGGGACACATCCATAGCCAAGAGTCATCAATCATGCTCTCCCGTAATAATCTTGTGCGCCAACAGCTTCAGTTGCCTAGCAATTATCTGAAGCAGTTGAGGCATGCACTGCTTTCCCCACTCCCTTTCTGCTGGCAACTAAAGAGACCAAAGAAGTATTTTTAGTTGACAAAACAGCTTGACTTCAGAATTTGTGGGTGTAACACCACTGAAGGTTTTTAAGAAGAGATTGGGGCAGCCGTTTGTCTGAAATCGTATAGAGTCTCTTGCTTGTGCAAGAGGTTGGACTAGAAGACCCCCAAGGTCCCTTCCATCTCTGATATTCTTTTATTCTGAATTTGTCAGTACACTGGTATTTTTTTTTAGTAATATTCCATACTGTTTTAAAAGTGGACATTTTGTAAATTGTCTAAGTCAGAGGTCTCCAAACTTGGCAACTTTAAGACTTGTGGACTTCAACTCCCAGAATTCAAAGCTGGCTGGAGAATTCTGGGAGTTGAAATCCACAAGTCTTAAAGTTGCCAAGTTTGGGGACCTCTGGTCTAAGCTGCATACTGACAAAATAGCTGTTGTGAGCATACAAGTAGCCCTCGGCTTGCAATCATTCATTTAGTGACCATTCCAAGTTACAACTGCACTGCAGATAGTGACATGATTGCTGTTCATACTTACAACCAGGGGTGGAATTCAAATTTCTCAACATCCGGTTCTGTGGGTGTGGCCTAATTTGTGGGTGTGGCTTGGTGGTCATCTGACTGGGTGGGCATGGCTTGTATGTAAATATTATAAATATTTATCTATATATTGATTTTTTATGAAAAAAAGAGCAACTTTTACCCCAAAGCAGGCAAAACAGGCAGGCAGATTGAGTTGCTCATAAAATCACAGATTAACTTAGAGATCTATCTATCTGCAATTGGCTACCTGAGTCTGCACTGAAAAGCTTCAGTCCTAAGGAAGGTTCGGCTCTACTTTTAGATTAGCTAGAAAGCAAGAAATCAGGATTTCTTGCTTTCTAGC